CTCCAGCTCCTTTTGGAAGGTGGGCCCCCTGCCAGGGCTGATTAGCCCAGCTGTTCTGTCCATTATTCCTGTTTTATTGCTTCCTTTCTCATTAAGAAAGGTGTTGGTTTGGATAACTACAAACGACATGTCTGCTGCTACAATGCTGCTGTCTCTTCCACAGTCAGTGGCTGAAGCTAGGTCCTAAGAAGTCTTTCAAAAGATTTAGATCACAGTTTTGGTCACAGAAAATACAGGAAAGAAAGTCCAGGTTTGAAAATGTGCCACACATATGACCATTTTCCTGTTTTTACTGTCTTTCTTTTCTTTTTTCTGTTTTAAAATTCATAGTGGGGAAAATAAAAATATGAGGGATGTTTTTCCTTAATCTCTGTCTCTCTCTGTCTATCTCTCTCCACACCGTTCAGTGTATCCACGTGAAACAATTTCGACAGTCCATGATCCTAAAATGTGTGTGTGGGGGGTGGGGGGTGGAAAGCTTTCCTTATGCCACTGTGCCCATAATATGCTCAGGCTCTCGTCAGCCACTGGCCACATACTGAACTGTTCTGTGGGTCCCTTAGAGCTCACTGGATCACACAAGTCCAACACTGAAGTCTACTTGGAAACAAAAGAACTGAAAGGGAGCTAAACATCCAGTTTCTCTCCACCCTCACTTAAGTAATCTCAGCATCTGTACTTCCCCCTCCCCAGATAATGTATGCCTTAAAAGAGCTTTCATTGGCACATCATTTCTCACTAAAAACCCTTTTAGTTTCCAGCGTCCTCTAATTTTCTCTCTTCCAGCACAGGGAGAATCATATTTACACAGAAAACCACAGTGTTGAACTTCACTTTCTTAGAGTTTCTCTTTCTAAGGGAATTTTGCAGCTGGTTCCATCTGCTTTTCCTGTTTTGTTTTTTTCTCTTCTGCCCATTTTGATTTCCAGGCCCATCCCCTACCCAGCCTGAGTATTCTTAACCACCACCACACAATGTCTTCTCTTGTCATAAAAGACACACAATTCATCTGTGTCCCAAACAGAAAATTCCCAGAAAATATTTGTTGATTTATACTGTTTCTAAAACTTTTAACATTAATATTTCTAGGACCAGTTATATTGTACGACACTTCGTAGAGCTGATTTAGGTTTTTTGTCAAAGTTCTACCTCACTGTGTGTTTCTTGGTGTTGAAAATGCATAAATGAACTACTCTGAATGCTAATAATCTTCATATGACTAAAAATTCTATCTGCATTTTAAATGTTAAATTTGCCTTTCCTTAGTATACATCTTGGATATTGTCTATCATCCCAACTGGTGTGTCTGAAGGAAAAGCAACCTATGCTGAAGTTAGATACTTTCAAATAATGATATCATGTGTCTTGGACAGCAGAGTGATGTTCACTAGACACCAGACACTATTTCAACTGCGTTACAAATATTAAGTTGTTTAAATATCATAAAGTCCTCTGAGGCAGCTATTCTTATTATTCTAGTTTTATGACTGAGGAAATTGAAACATAGAGAGGTAATATACTCAAGGTCACACAGTGAGTAAATAATAGAGCCAGGACTCAAGTATGGGCCATCTGTCTCTAGAGTTCATGCACCTAACTGCTCTTTAGCAGTACTTTACTAATAACAACAACTGGATGGAGGGAAGGTATTATAGAAGGAAAGGGTACTAGCGATTGAACCCAGGGCTTTGTTCATGCTAAGCACATATGCTACATCCTTAGCCCCAATATCAATATTTAGGTTATTTCCTTCCAAGTTTCTCTATAAGAGAGAAGAGAATTCAGATTAACTTTGCAGAGTACTGTATATGCAGTAGTTTATAAGTCCCTATTTTTTTTCTGAAATCAAGTCCTCATTTAAAGAAGACTTTTAACTCTTTTTTAAATAAAACCATCTCATACAAATTGCCCCTCTAGGTTTGGCACAGTAACCTCCAACTAAGAATTCATAGCAAATTTTCTCAAGGTATAGGTGTGAAACACATGTCATTTTAAATATCAGAGCAAATGAGCTCAGTTCTTCAGAGTCCTTATGATATCCAAATCACATTGGATAGTAATTTGTCCTTAAGTTTAATAAACTTTTGAGTTTATTAGATTCTCTACATAAACTATATACTAAGCAAACAGAATTTCCCATTTTATCTCTGATATCAAGACCACAGTCTTGATATCATGAGTTAGCAAATAAATAAGCATTGCTTTATTTACATATTCCATGCTATTAAAGGTTTTCATTACATACATGTATTTTTCCTAAATCTAAATTTCCTAAATCTAACTGCTAAAGAGCAGTTAGGTGCATGAACTCTAGAGACAGATGGCCCATACTTGAATCCTGGCTCTATTATTTACTCACTGTGTGACCCTGAGTCACCTTGACCTGACCTGCAATCAGTATATGGTTTTCAGTTCTTTGACCAGTTTACTTATATCATGTAGCTCCTTAAAGAGTGATAATTTAGCTGAGTGAAATGATACATCCCTGTAATCTTAGCCATTCAGGAGAATGAGGTAGGAGGATCAAAATTCAAGGCCAGTTTGGGCCACTTAGTGAAATCCTGTCTCAAAATGAAAAGGGCTAGAACAGTGGTGGAACACTTGCCTAGCATGAGGAAGGTGCTGGGATCCATCCTCAGTACTGGTGAGGGCAGGGTGGGGGAAGTGTTTGCTGTGAACTAGTAGTAGGGCAAGCTTGAGATTTAATCAATTTCTTTGTGTAACTACAGCACTATAATTTCCAGTTATGCTCCCATTTTGTGCCAGATACTTTTCTAGGAAATACACACAGAAGTAAATAAGAATGGATTCCCTGCCCTTGAAGAGCTAAATGGCTCAAGGTTTCTAGGACAATTGCTAAATTTCTTAACTTGCATCATAAATAGCAGTTCAAAATCCTCACCAAAATGTACGAATATTTAGCTCTAAATTCATGCATCAACATAAAGGACTCATATGAATATTCATCTCTTTGGTCTATGCCCCTTTTCACTAACTCTCAGGATTTTCCTGTGACTGGGTTAATGTTAAGATTCTTTGAAATGCATGAGATATTAAGTACAATCTTATCTGGTATTATTAGATCTGCAGGTGAAAATCGAAGATCTAATTGGTCATAGCAATAAAAGAACTTTAATTTGTACAATACCTTGAAAGTTTCATAACTATAAATGTATTAATATAAGCGTATACATGCATATATATATATACATATATGTGTACGCATGTGTATTATCTTGTTGCTGCTCAATGGCTTTTTAAGTTTCTTTTTTAATAGTCTATGTTTACAATACATAATAATTTAGGCTCAATGATATTACATAAGTTATATCAAATTTTTCTTGCTTAAATCCCTTCAATAACTTCCACTCACACTCAGAATAAAAACAATTTTTCTTTGACCTCATTTTTAAAAATGTTTAATTCCCATATTTAGTTATGCTTCAGATAGTCTCCCTTTGGTTTTGGTTTTACAAACAAGACTAGTTGTACCTAAAGTCCTTTTTTTTTTTTTTTTTTTTTTTTGTCTACTCCTCCAGATCAGTTAGGGGGCTGGCTCAAGTCTCAGTTCAGATACCACCTTGCAGAGGAGGAGCCTTCCCTGACCAGCTGAAGTATTGCCCCTACCCTCCGACAAAGTTACTTGTAGCATGTTACTCTATCTCTTTTGTTTCTTGGTTTTTATTGCTTAAATGTTTGGTTTGTTTACTTGTTTACTGTTGTTGCTTAAATTCCCTTTGTTTCTTTACTTATTTATTGTTGGTTTCCTTCCTTTACTACAGTGTAAGCCAATGAGAGCAGAGATGTAATTATTCATTACTACATACCTACCCCCCAGAACTCTGCTGGCATTGGGCAGGAAAACTAGTAAATCAGCTCATTTATAATGCCTTAATGTTTGGAGAAGAATAGAGTTTCTAACTACATTTTATTCTCTTTAGGTAATTTAATCTAATCCTGTGGATTTTTCCACCAATCTATTTTCCTCCAGTCTAGGTCTTTCTTTGTCAGGTAATCAATTGTAAACTATGTTTAACTTTTTTGCTTCCTATTGCTCATTGTTAATTTTAAAGCTACCCTTAACTTTTGGTCATAAGAGCCAACAGGACTAAAAAATACTAAGTTGCCAGCCTTTGTCGCCCAGTTTAAAAACACATTTTTCTTTTGGTTTTCCCTTTTTCCTTATTTCAGTCTCCCAGTTCTTCATTCCTACTTCTCATTGTTATTTCTTGAATGTGCTATCTGTAGATGAGCCTTTGACTCTAGCTCTAATTCCAAGGCTTACTCACCATTACACATTGCATTACCTCTAAGAACTACAAGATTTCCTTCCAGAGTATCTGCACCCTGAACTAGTGCAGTCTGGCCAGCTCCCAACTTTTGAATCAGAGACTGGACCATTTCAAAACCTCGGAGGGCCATATTTTGACAACAGGCTTTGCCTCTATGTGGAAGGCATGCAGCTGTAGTTGCTCCCTGTGTCAGATCTGACCTGTGGGTCAATGACTTTTTACTATTACTGCAGTTGTTTTCAAAATGTGGTTGCAATATATATGCCATGCTCATTATAAAATATCTTTCCAAAACATTTGTTCTCTACTCTATCATAATTCATGACTTCTGATACTTTATCATAAACTGCCATAACAGAGAGCGGAAAATTTCTCAATACTTTCTAAAATAAAAACATAATTTCTATTTTCCAGTGAAAATTGTTGCACCTTTAAGATTAGTTTGCATCCTAGAGTATGTGCTCATTCTCTCACATTGTCACTTGGATTTGTTTGGGGGAAAAATGATACTTTCTGTAAGTGGATATCTATCAGTGCATGTGTGTACGTCTGTGTGTGCCAGCTCACCTTAAGAAAAAAAAAGAACAAGTCATGACTAATTGGGAGCAGGGAATCAGAAACATTTCCTTTGGAGCATGCATGTTGCTTCTCAGTTGGAAATATACTTTAAAATCTCATTATCCCTTTCTGCTTTTATTGTATGAACAGGTGGTTAACACATACACTCCAGGAAAGAAGATTTGGCTTGAAGGTATGGTGACCACCTCAGCTGGAGGCACAAATAATCTATCGGATTCCTATGCTGCAGGATTCTTGTAAGTGACATTTGAAGTTTCCCTCCCAGAGGCTTTCAGGATAGGACAATGAAACTGACATGGTGGTTATGCTGCCCTTTGCAGGGCAAAGCTGATTTCTCTTTGAAAGCTCATCAACTATTCATTGGTGAAATTTTAACCATTTAATAAAGTTGTTACTGCCTTCTCTATATCCTGGAAGTCAGACATGGCCATCAAGGTAAAGATAAAAGAGTAACAGCAACAATAATAGAAGGAAGAACTTTACTTAACAATCTGCAATTTAAACTGCATATATTCCTTATCAACTTTTACTATAATTTTGGAAGATAGATAACAGCACAAGAATTTTTCCCTCCAGAAATATGTATTTGGAGGACCTAGGATAAGAGCTAACTAAATTGCAAACTGCTGGAGATAAGTACCACATAATAATAATTAAGCTATCTTCCGTTTACTATATACCAAGCACTGTCTAAAGTGCTTTATATGTATTTAATAATTTGACAACAAATGAAATCAGTGCTGTTGTTTTAATAGTAAGATAGTGAAATAGATGCTGTTATTAATTTCATGTTACATTTGAAAGAAATTGAAAGAGTTAAAGTAACTCACCCAAGAACATTCATTTAGTTAGTGGCAGAACTAGGTCCAAACCAGACAGCCTGCTCTGGAGTCTAACCTTTTCACCACTTTGGTTGTCCATATCTCTTTCAAAAGCTCTCTCCATAAAGGTAAAGGGATAAACATCCAAAGAAGTAAAGAAATTTTGGGACTGGGAATATCAGGAAAGGCTTCGTGGAAGTAGTGTCATTTGGGTGGGCCATAAAAAGGTTGCCCTAGATTCTATAGGTGAGGAGTGGTAGTGAGACGGAAGTACACCAACCAACCATCAGGGACAGAGGCACAATGGAGAGGGCAATGGTTACTGTGACTAAAGCTTTGTTAGATTCCGGGGTGTAATGAGAAGAGAAAGTTTACCACCATATCACAGAAGGTCCTGAAAAACAGATAGAGGAGAAAAGGCTGTGTTCCACAATCACATAAGCCATTGGAGACTGTTAGAAGAGAAGAGGTATGTAGTCTGACCTGTTTTAAAACTTTTGTTTTGGCAACTGTATGCATAAGAGTTCGGGAGAAGTGAGTAAATGGATTTGTAGTCATCTGGAGAATAAGTTTGCCAGAAACGTAAGGGGTTTTGCCTGGCCTGCCTGTGTCATGTGACAGAAGGCAAACTCCAGGCTCAGCCTATTACCATTGTCCTGGCATCTTGATTGAGCAATGCCTCTCTAAGAGCTGTAGCTTTGCCCTCAGCTAGGTTTCAGGTATTCCTCAACAGGTATTCCTAACTATGCAGATGTGATTATCTTCCACTGAGACAGCTTCTTTAAAACAACTGTGAAGGACAGTCAGCCTAACCAAATAGATTATCTTTGCAGATGGAATCTGTCAAATGCAGATGAAGATAATGAGTCAGTGTAATTCACAGCCATACCTTGAGTCCATCTTTGTATCTTTAGCATCTGACATTGTATGCCACAGTTGTCTGATGACCATGGTTCAGATAAATGACTTCAACACTTAGAAGTGCGTGGCACACATTAGATATTAAATAAATATCTGTGGAATAGAAAACAGTGGCTAGAGTAACATCCTTGGTGGGATATGAGTCATTTTACCAACTTTATTCTCTACGTGAGCATAGAAGGTAATTTTGTAAGACTAATTCCTTCTCCCTTCAAGCTTATTATTTAGGAGGAAGATAAATATAGTATCAGTTTTAACCGTTCTACTCTGAAAGACACAGAGTAGCAGAGGTCCTGTCCATGGTCATTTGTTAAATGTTCTAGATTCTCTTTTTTTAATCTTGTGAGATAGGATCCCATTATACAATTCAGGCTGGCCTTGAGTTCACTTTGTAGTTCAGGCTGGTCTCAAACTCACAACGATCCTCCTGCCTCAGCCTGAAGAGTGCTGGAATTATAGGCATGAGCCACCATGCCCAGTTGAATGCTCTAGATTGTGAATTTGAGTGTAGGGTTATGCATTTGGAGAGGAGGATGGATATTCTTTCCTCTCACTTCAGAGTTTCTTCAAAATCTTCTCATATACTAGCAAAAAATCAGATTTATTGATTTTTATTCATTGAATACTTAGTCTATGCAAGCCATAGTATTAGGCTCCATAGAGATCACAAATGAGATTTTTTTTTTTTTTTTTTTTTTTTTTTTTTGCGGTACTGAAGATTGAACTCAAGAACTTTGAACTGAGCTACACCCCAGTCCTGTTTTTCTTTTTCATTTTGAGATAAGGTTTCACTAAGTCACCAAGTTTCCCAAACTGGGCAAGAAACTGTGAACTTTTCTACTTCAGCTTCCCAGATTGTTGTGATTACAAGTGTGTCCCACCATTTGATACTGTTCTTGAAAATGTTACCATCCAAGGTATTTGCATGTCCAGTTCTTTCACATTGATTTACCTGGTCACTCAGGATTCCTTTTTTTTTTTTTTTAATTTTATTTAAAAGGAAAAAGAGGGTCATTCAGGATTCCTTTTTTTTAAAATTTTATTTAAAAGGAAAAAGAGAAAAAACAAAACAAAACAAAGTGGTGTAAGGGTACAAGTAATATAGAACTACAAAAAAAAAGTAAGAAATCACCAGTCAATAGATTACATATTATCATCTTAGAGATAGTTGCTCAAGTCACAGTATCAAACCATACAAAGTGGGCATTCAAACAGTGAGACTGCAAACAGTTGTGTTCAATGATCCAACCAAAAACATTAATATGGTCAGCTATTTAACACCCCTAAACATACTTGCAGTTGTATTCTTTAGAGCACTTTTTTCCCTCTCTTTTTTACAACAAAATTTACACATTTTGGGTTTTATTACTCCTTAGTTCTTATTACTTTTTTTTTAAAAGAATAAAGTCAAATATAGCAAAACAAAGCTGTCAGTCAAAACCAAGGATAGACATAGCACATGAAGTAAAAACAGAGTACAAGGTTATCAACAATGGTTACCATAATGCCTCTTGCTTCCTTAAAAATAATCGCCTATCTCATTAAGTATTATAAAGTTGAACAAAACAGTAGAGAACAAGACCAATAAAACCTAAACCTTGTAAACATTACAGGACTTCCAAAGAAGATAATAGTCAAACCAGAATGGGCATCATAGCGAACCTTATTGCCTTCAAAGTAGTTGCCTATATCCTCAAACTTGATACTATCATACAGAATGGAACAGAGTCTAATCAGTCAAAACAAGATTGTGGGAGTATTATAGGACTTCAAGTTAATAGGAAATCAAAAAAGGTACTATAATATATCCTGCTAATTTTTTTTATTTTTCTCCTTAATTAAAAAAATCATAAAAAATAACTAAAAAAATTTTTAATGAATAAGGGAGAGATTGAGATAAGAGGACATAACAACATAACAATACAGGTCAAAGCATGACAGTTTCAGCAACCTAGTGCTTTACCACCAAATAACCCGACTTACTAGTAGTTACCATAGTGTCTTTTTCCTTGAAATATTTGAATATAACTTCATATACTATAGCTTCAAATATATCCAGTCAGTGTAAAACCATTCAAGTGGATGAAAGCATTGTAGGGTATTTAGAACCAGCTAGCAGAAAACGAACCATGGTTTCTATATTATCTTTTGCCTATAAAAATTTTTGTTTATACTATCACATATAATAAAATCCAGCAAGATACATCATGATAAAACTGATGGAGACAGAAGAGCCATAGTTTGGTGGAGCTTCAAAACAAGATGATAGTAAATCAGCACTAGCTATTATGATGACTTATTTTCTTCAAAATAGCTGTTCATTTCATCACAGGAAATAATATCAAGCAGCCCAGAATAAACCCATTCCAATTAATAAGTGAAAACTTTATGAGGCTTCAAGGCCACATAATGGGGAATCATGATTACCACATACTTTTATATATTTGAATCATTACTTACATTAGGGAAACTATTCGGTATTCACACATGCGAGATTGATTTATTTCATTTGTAAGTATGGTCTCAAGCTGCACCCATTTATTGATATATATCTCAATGTGATGCTTCTTCATAGCTGAGTAATACTCCATTGTATAGAAATACCACAACTTTTTTTTTTTTTTATTTAAGAGGAAAAAGAGAAAAACACTAAACAAACCAAAGCGGCGTAAGGGTACACGCAATACAGAACTACAAAACAAAACAAAACAAAACAAAACAAAAAACCATAACAGTAAGAAATTACCTGCTAGTAGATTACACACTATTTTCTTGAAAATAGTTCCTCAAATCACAGTATCAAAGAACACAGGGTGGACATTCAAACAGGGAGACTGCAAACAGCTGTGTTCAATGTTCCAAAAACATTGATAAAGTCAGCTATTTAACACCCCCAAACACACTTGCTGTTATATCCGTTAGAGCTCTTTTTCTTTTTTTTTTTTCCCTCTCTTTTTTACAACAAAATTTACACATCTTGGATTTTATTACTCCTTAGTGCTTATTACTTTCTTTGGGGGCGGGGGGGAAGAATACAGTCAAATATGGCAAAACAAAGCTGTCAGTCAATACCAAGGATAGACATAGCACATGGTGTAGAACAGAGTACAAGTTTATCAACAATGGTTATCAACGTTGTCCCTTGTTTCCTTAAAAAGAATTGTCTATCTTATTAGATATTATAAAGTTGGACAAAACAGTAGAGAACAAGACCAATAAAACTTAGGCATTGTAAACATTACAGGACTTCCAAAGAAGACAATAGTCAAACCAGAATGGGTATCTTAGTGAATCTTATTGTCTTCAAAGTAGTTGCCTATGTCTTCAAACTTGATACTATCATATAGAATGGAACAGAGTCTAATCAGTCAAAACAAGATCGTGGGAGTACTACAGGACTTCAAAACAAGTTAATAGGAAATCGAAAAGAGTTACTATTTATATATCCTAATTTTTTTGAATTTTTTCTTTAATTAAGACAAACATAAGAAATG